CTCTCTCTCTCTCTCTCTCTCTCTCTCTCTCTCTCTCTCTCTCTCTCATTTTCTATTTATCTCTGTGAGTAACAAGGTAGTTTTGTGAAATCATATCTCCTACTATGTTATCTTTTTGAGCCGAAGATCATCTTCTTAAGAGTCTAGCTTTAAAAACATGGACCTCCAGCTTTATTTTCTGATTTTAATTTTATGAACAGTAGCTTTTGTGGTGCTTTTGTCTATGAATACACAAATATAATATCAGCTTATTCACAGACTGAGACTAATTGGTTTGCTATGAATGCTGAGTATTTAATAGTGAGAGCAGACTGGATAATAACACCCTGTCCTTAGTATATGGGGTCATTCAAGGGTTGGGATGGGCAGAGGAGAGCAGTGGGTGACCCTACTCCCCTCCTCAGGAGACGAGGAACGATGGTGAGTTTGAAGCCAGCTAGATTGGTTACACACCGTCTCAAAAAGAAAATCGTGAAAATAAGATAAGGAGTATGAAAAAGTGACCCACTGCTGAGCCCACGGCACTGCAAAAGACAGCATCAAACCTTTGGGATACCCAAAGTACTGGTCAATCTCAGTGGGTCACAAACAAAATTAATATTTTTGTACCAGAGGATTGGGGGAAAAAGATTTGTCTTATTGGAGAGAGCAAAGAGTTGACAGGATGGTAAGGAGGTAGGTGACAGTGGTTGCTTTATATTACGTACATGTGCAAAGTGAAAAGATTGTGAAAATAAGAAGATGGCATAAGAAATATTTAGTATAGTGCTTGCAATATAGAAGTGCTCACTTAGCAGCTATCATTTTTAGAGGAAAAGCAAAGATAAAAAAAATAAAATTAAACATAATGCTATATAATATATTTTATTTAAAGCCAAAATAACCTGTGTCATTTTAGGCTGTGTATTATTTAGAACCTAAAAAACATTGAAACCAGAGGTTCTTAGCTTTGCCACTAGTTAGCAATATGCATTGCTCAATTTTATGGATTTTTTTTGGTTCTGTTTTTGTTTTCAAATCTATGAATGTGGATATTGGGCCTATTTCATGATTTAGCTTTTAAAATGAAGTGTATTGTATGTGCATATATATAAAACATTTGATTTAAAAGTAAATATTTCTGTATATTATACCTAATACTTATACTTAATAAATGGTGACTGGACTATCCCTATTTTTTTCAAAAAAATTGAGCAACAGCCTCACCTTACTCAATTTTTTTCTCTTTTTAAGATTGATTTTCTCAAGAATTTTATGTTGCTGGGAAAAGCTGTGGCAGGTGTGAGATTTGCCCTTCTTCTCAGCTCCCAAGGCACGCGCCACACTTTTCTGGATATGGTCCGATGATCCGAGATGCCTATGTCAGAAAGAAAGAAAGTTGCATTTGCAGCACTAAGGGCGTGAGCGATCCCCAGGGTCTGTATCTGCTCCCCTTCACATGGCTGGGTGACACCTGCAAACGCCGTGGTACGCATGGCAGGAGAGGAACTTTATACCTGGAGAGTTTGTGTATAGCGGACAGTGAGCTCAGCTGGTACAGTCCTCATTTACATGCGTGAAGCTTAGATGCAGTGCCCAGCTCTGTATGAACACAGGCATGTTGGTGTGTGCCTCTAATCCTAGAGGTGGAGGCAGGAAGACCAGGAAGTTGCAGGTCATCTTTGACGACTTAAGGAGCTAAGGACAACCTGGGCTAGCTTAGACACAAAACAAAACTTACTCTCTTTCCCAGAGGTGTCATTTCTGTCTTCCAAGACTATCCGTTATATAAATATCTTCCGAAAAATAGTTTGGAAGAAAAATTACTAATGTGTCTGTAAAATGTGCCAAAATATGAGAGCTGCATGGACAAGTGTCTCCATCAGTTTCGGGGATCCATGACAAGCTCTCTTTCTGAAGCGTAACCAGTCTTCAATCCTGGGTCACCAGTAGTCTACAACACTGTTTCTGTTTATTAGTTTATATGAATATTGAATTTGGAAGTTGTCAGTAATGTTGTAGCATTTCATAATGCCATGGAGAATTGCTGTCTAGCACTTTGCCTTCAAAACACACAGATATCAATATGCTGAGAAGAGCGGTGGACAAGCGGGTGGGTAGATGTACTTGAGACAAGTAAAAAGGCAGAGTTCTGGCCAGAAGCAGAAGTCCAGTCAGAGACAGCACATAGCGCTCTCAGGATGTGTCCCTTCCCCAGCCAGCATCTACCTGACCTTAGCCTTGTGACTCACATGGGAGAGCACACACCCATGGAAAGTTTCCTAGCTAGCGAAGATTTATTTTTGTCTTGCCATTTAATACTTTGCCTTTTGTGGGGGAACATTTTTATAGTATTTAGTTGGCTCAACTTGTTGTTTGTGCCTTTTATGAGGTTTGCTTTTTTTTTTTTTGCTAAAAGGAATTGCTTTCCCAGATTTGAACTACAAAAACATGGACATAAGAGGACTGTTCTGCAAGGCTGTGCGTTGTTTTTATACTTTTTAGTTCAGCGTCACCATCCAAGGAGCCCTGGCTTGGAGTGTGCCAAGGTTTTTGTTTTGTTTTGAGTATTATTCATTCTTTAAAGTAATTTGTATCTTAGGTCAGAGTCCTGGCTTTTGTGTGAACTTTTAAAGAGAGACCAAGATGTCCACACAGAGATAACACTTGGGTCATTTTAGGACCCACAGTCCCACATCCTTATTGCCTTTCTGTAACATATCAGTTCCTTTAAAATAAAAAAAGGAAGAAAATCTATAACAAATACATTTTTACACATTTGCTAGATCCAAACAGAATACAGCTTTATAAAATTCCAATTATTAATTACCAAGTATCAGATAGATTGTTAATATAACATAATTGGAGTTATTTTTAGCACTGACTTATAATGTTTATTTATGAAATATATCCTAGGTCTAATATTTCCAAGGTTTGCCTTTCTCGAATCCTGACACTTCCCTCTGTATTTTCTGTGAGCTTCTAGATCAGCAGTTCTTAACCTGAGGGTCACAGCTCCTTTGGTAATTAAATGACCCTTTCACAGGGGTCACCTAAGACTGTTGGAAAACATAGGTATTTACATCATCATTTATAATAGTAACAAAATTACAGGTATAAAGTAGCAATGAAAATAATTCTGTGGTTGGGGGCCACCCCAACATGAGGAACTGTATTAAAGGGTCGTAGCATTAGGAAGGTTGAGAACCACAGGTCTAGAGACTTTGCTAACTCCAAAAACCTCTTACCTTCTATGATACATGTGGTTATATTCCTGATGAAAGACACTTCCTCTCGCTTCTTTAGTATGACTTGAGCAAGACAATAGCAGAAAGTAAGACGATGGAACTAATTCATACTAAATAACATCCTCACCCCAGGCATCTTTCTTAGATATATTTGTATTTTTATAAAAGAAGTTCACAAGCTTACTGAATGTCTAATTGATGGTATTTCTGGAATTACATTTAAATTTCCATTCAATTCTTCTCTGACCACCCATCCCCAAAGCTTACAGGAACCATTTACCCTTCTACATCTCCATAGCGGCTAGGTCAAAGCTCTCACATTCTGTTAAGTCCAGCCCAGTATCTACCTTATAGGAAGAGAGATTTTATCCCATCCTTCCATAAAGAGATAAAACAAGTCTGTTAGTTCTGCTTAGGGAAGTCTGTGTATTAACAGCAAAGCAGCTGTCTCTCCAGTGCTCTGGTTATCTAGCGCAGCACACACACGCCCAAATGTTTACAGCGGCCTGGCATTTGCCATAACCAACACACATATTCGAAAAGCCAGATAACTGACACAGGATTCTGTCTGGTACAGAATGGGGAGACCGCAGAGGACCAGAGGTGATGACAGGGAATTCCAAAGCCACCGTGTCTCTGAGCAGAACTGCAAAGTTGGAAGTCCCTTTGCAAATCTCATCCGTGAAAAATCAGCGATCCCTGGGTTCTCTTCAGTGGTCCCATCCTCCTTTGTCCTCTCTTCCACACACCCTCTGCTCTCTGCTTCCTCTGCCCCAGCGTGTCTCTACATTTCCCCACGTCCTTGGTGAGCCCAGCTTCCATTTACCTCTAAAAACAAATTCTGCATAGTCCTAAAATTGATGAAGTTGGATTTTCTAGTAAAACCTTAATTCTGATGTTATGAGGGGAGAATTTCAAGTCAATCGCTACTCTTTCTTCTGGCGATCAATCAATATTTAGATTTTTTCGCCATACTGCATAAGAAAGTTATCCCTGGGTCAACTTACTCCTCCCAACTGGTTCTTCTGAATTCTGACTTTTGTCCAGAGAGATGGCCCGTCATCATCCAGGGCTCCCGGCTATCTGAGATCATCATGTCCATGGCCTTCATTTTATTGACCTTTAGTTTGTTCACGTCCATAGTTTTCCTTGACAACTTACAGCAGTGGAGTTGATAATCTGAATGCTGCAACTGGCTGTGCACCTTGGAATTGCAGCCTTTCGGGTTTCTTTTTTTCAGAACCCACTGAGTTTGGGTACGGATTCCAGCATATAGACAGCACTTGCCTGCGTGACGCTCCTGGAACTCCCAAGTTTTTAAGTCTCAAGTGTATGTTATTTTTTCTCATAACCTTTTCCGGTCTAACCTGGACTGCTGTCAGTCACCAGAAGTACTTCTTCACAGCTCATGTTGTATCGCTCCCCTACACCCAGCCTTAGATCACCAAATAACAAGGCATCCTCTGCTCCTACACAAAAAGCACAGGAGGAAATCACCTGAGTGTGCTGTGTCTATTCCTAGAACGTCTTCTTCCCATTGCTACAATGGGAAAAAATATGACGTCACTCCTGGAATTTAAAATCACCCACAATTAATTACTACCATTGAAGTTGATCACCACCTCTGAAACAGCCTCTTCCATTACCCAATTGCCGTCTAAAATATTGAAAAGCACAGGTCAAAATAGTGTCTTATTCAGTGGTTCTTTTGCTGTGAAAAAACACCATAGTCGCTCTTATAAAAGAGAACAATTGGGGCTGGTTTACAGGTTCGGAGGGTTGGTCCATTATCGTCATGGCAGGAGGCATGGTGGCATGCAGGCAGGCATGATGCTGGAGAAGAGCCAAGTGTTCTACTTCTGGAGTGGTAGGCAGTTGGAAGAAAGAGACACTGGGCCTGGTTTGAGCTTCTGAAATCTCAAAGCTCACCTCCAGTGACCCATTTCCTACAACAAGGTCACACCAACTCTAACAAGCTCACTTGTCCTAATCCTTTCAAATAATGCCACTCCCTATGAGCCTGTGGGGGCCATTTGCATTCAGATCACCGTCCCAGACTACCAGCACTCACTGGACAGAGGAATCACAGGGATGCTCTCCTTGTGAAGGCAAGTGGAACTCAATTGGAGTTCTTGGATCTTTATTGTAGAGAAGGTCCATTGCTCTATGGTCAGAACATACGTCAAAGAAAAGCTAGTGGAACATGCCGATAGCATGGCTGTGGCTTGTGTCAGATTTTGCCAGCCCTTGGTTGGGCTAGGAAATTAGATGAACAATTTGCTTGGAATGATACTTTGTTTTTCAAGAAAGGCTTAGGCAAATCCAAGTAACAGACCAAGAACATGTTCCTTTCAAATTGGGCTTATTAATTTTTACAATAAGACAGATTTTTAAAGAAAAAAATTAATGTCTCAGAGTCACTGACTTAGTGATTCTCACTAGGAACATTTATTTATACATTTGTATGTTTTTAAGTTGAAACTATAGTGTCTTCAGGTATTGGTTGAGATTGTCTTCAGAGTGCGGTCTGTCTAATTAGTGGAGACATATTCACATAATCTTGTAGCTATGTTCCTATTATAGCTTGTGGAATGTTACAGTGGGGCAATGTGTCCTTACTGTATTTGCATCTCCACAAAAAGACTGAGATTACCTGTAGGTGGGACCTTCATTCAGTACCAAACTTTAGTGCAAGACCATCATTCTTAATATGTAGAAGATGGCTGATCCTTACCATTATCCTGACTGGAGGTTTGTGGGGGTGTTTTCAGAAAGGCTTAATAAATAGAGAAGAAACACTCTGAATGTGGGTTCCACCTTCTCAAAGCTGGGATCCGTCCTGGATGAAAAAGAGGGAGGCAACTGGGCACCAGCATTTGTCTCTTTCTGCTTCCATATTGTGGGTACAATGTGACCAGTCACCCTACACTCTGCTGTGCCCTGTGAACTGCACACTTAAACCATGAGCCAAAGGAAGTGAGCAATGTTGTCACAGTCATGGGAGAAGGAACCAACACAATGTTGTAATCCCTTCTGTTTGGGATGCTGATTAATGAAAACAGAATTGCTGATAGAGAAAGTTGGAGTCACGGAAAGAGAGCCGTACCAATCATCAGAGGAATTTGCCAATGCACAGACTGACTTGTCCAGGTACTCACTGTGATTTAAGTATTGATCTGATGGTGTGGGTCAGAGACCAAGAGCAAGAGAAGCAGGGAGCGTGCCTCATCCCTTGAAGTTGTAGTCATTTTTAATAAGACATTTGAGTCTGTAGAATTAGCTATGTGCTAGATTACTCTCAACAAGTATGCTGGGAAGCTATGAATAAATCCCCTTGTAGTAGAAGCCTCTTCTGGGCTATGTCCCAGGTAGCCAAAGAACTTTCTTATTACCTCACTGTTATGGAAATTGACAAGTTGGTTGATCTTCATGTGTACGGGTTGGAGATGAATGCATAATTCTCCCAGGCAGCCTTGCTCTTTGCCCTGTCTTCAGCTGCATTCTCATTGTTTCTTTTGAGAGGAGGCTAAGTGCTGACTGCTCAGGAGGGAGCAGGAAATCAATGGTGAAGCCTCTTCTGCACCTCTCCAAGGATGCTTCTCTTCTTCACATCCTAGTCTCTTTTCAGTGATTATGCATGTAAGCCAGATGAGATAAATCCAGCACTCCAGATAACAGTTGTGTTTCACCTTCTTTTCTGCAAATGCCACACACAAGAAAGTGAGGATGTGTGAGATACATCTAGTAAAGCTTGACCAGGAAGAAAGAGACTCTGTTGGGATCACAGTGGACTTTAGTAAGTAATTTTTTTAATTGATATCCAAACATTAAAAACAAAACAAACACATGCAAGAAACAGCAAAAGTCAAGTGTCTCACATAATACAGAAAGAAATGTCATTGTTGTGACTAATGAAGGTATTAGTGTTCAGACATCTGTACCGGCCTGCCCTTGAGGTTCTGACAGGCTACATCCTCATCAACAGCCACTAAGAGCGTCTCCTGTGCATAGCCACTGTGCTCCCTTCTAAAACGTGAGCCTTGCCCACAGTCTTCCTTTTTCTCTCCTCTCTTTCTTTCTCTTTTGCCATTCCTGTCCCCGGGGACTAGACTCTGCCCTTCTCTGATACCCTTTCTGCCCCTTCTCTCCTCTTCCAATAAACCTCTGATGTGAGTCAAGTTGCACGGTGTGACTGGTCTTCGTGATGCTTTTAAATAAATTTCAACAGAAGGTTTAGACCTTCCTTCCTTTTTTTTCTTCTTTTATCCTTTCTTCCTTTTTCCTGGTGGCCCTGGAGATGCTTTCCTGATCTTTCAGTCTTAGACCACCTATTCTTTATGTCTCTGTTTATCAAGATCACTCCAGAAAATGTGATTTCTCTTTTCTTGTGCACTATCAACACTTAGTATCCCTTACACTCTTCCGGCATTTGAAATTTAGTGCAATGTTGTCTGCTAACTATGCCAGGAACAGGGTTAACAAAAGCACAAAGGAGGTGTTTGCTAACTAGTAAATTCAAGGTAGAAAGATTTACCTTGGGGAAAAAGTTGCAAGACCTCTTTCCCTCCGTCCGTCCGTCCCTCCCTCCCTCCCTTCCTCTCTCCCTCCCTTCTTCTTCCCTCCATCTATCCCTCCCTCCCTCTTTCTCCTTCCCTCCCCCTCTCCCTCAGTGATGCAGGTTATAACCGACACCTATGCTTACTTTAGAACTATGCATTTTCTGTATCCCCAACCTGAGAGATCATGTCCTGCCAGCCACCTGGATTGACACTGTGTTTAAGAGAATAGCTCTTGTTAGTGGTTTGTTAGATGCAATTTTGTTAGCACTTATGAAGCAAAGTACTACAGACTGAGTGGTTCAGTACAGGAATGTATTGCTGCTACTTCTAGAGACAAGTCCACAATTACTGTGTCAGCTCATGGGGATGCTTGTGAGGCTTTTCCTCGACTTGTAGTCCTCGGACTGTCTTCTCTGTCTGTCTTCTAATTTCCTCTTCTTATGATACCAGCATATCATCACACTAGAGCAGTCGTTTTCAACCTGTGTATTTCAACTCCCTTGGGGGTTGAATGGACTTTTACCAAGGGTCACCTAAGACCATCTGCATATCAGATATTACCTTACAATTTATAACAGTGCAAAATTACACTTATGAAATAACAAAAAATATAATTTTATCGTTGGGGTCACCACCACATAACAAACTCTGTTAAAGGTTCGCAGCATTAGGAATGTTGGAAACCACTGCATTGAGAGGCTCTCCCAATGACCTTATTTGATCTTACACCCTTACAGGCCTTATCTCCAAATCCATTCACATTCCTAGGTCCCTGCTTAGAAC